AAATTTTAATTATTTATTTTTTACCTTTCAATAGTTGAAATTTATTTATATTTATTAAAGATAATTATTTTTTAAAATCATATTTTAATTTTATATTAAAAAATAATAACTTTTAATAAATATATTATATAATATATTAAATTAAAAGATAAACCTAATGTTCAAGAGCTTAAATAATGTACTCTCTGATCTATTTACGTGTCCTTTCACCTTTTTACACGTAATTTTAGTACTTTTACATGGCGCTGAAAAAATTAAATATTTTTTGGGTACCTAATTACCGTAAGGAAGTTTTATTTTTTTATCAATTTTTTTCAGTTGTTATTAATACGTTATTATTTTGAAAAATTGCAAGAAAAAACTCAAACGGATTATAAAAAAAAAAATCATGAGATAGGAGCTGACAAGTTGGGTGGTAATCATTCTTTTAAATGGAATAATATTGTAAGGAGTAGATTTTAAATTTAAGCAGTAAATATGTGCGTGAACAAAGAAAAAAATAAAAAGGTATAAAACTTAAAATTAAAAGAGAAAAAAAATAAACCAAGATATATAATATTTTAAAAAAACAAAAATTAAGATATTTTACATTAAAAATATTAAAACATTTAATTTTAATTATAATTTAAATAAATCTTATATTATATCTCATTAATCATATAATTTTAATTAAATATTTTAAAATTTCCAATAACAAAAAGTCTCGATTTTTTGTATCCTTGTAATAATTTGTAGACCATTAATTAATAACTCTAGGTCTAGGATCTAGGATAGCCTAAAAAGAAAAATAATAACTAGAATTACTGGGCAGATAAAAACAAAAATTCTCCGTAATTGTTGACCAAAATTAAGAGAGATAAAGAGGAGCTTACATGCGAACGACATGAGGGGTGCTGCCACTGGAACAGTTGACAGAATTTTCAAATCGATCCTTTGGAATTGGAGGTGAAAACCATCCCGACTCTCCGCTGCATGGATCTACACTGAAATTCCAGTCTGTCTTCCCCAACGTCTTGGCTATGTCTCGCAAAGCTTTCACTGCAAGTTGGAACAACAATAAAATTAAATATATAGTCATAAAAAAAAAAATGAAAAAGGAGGTCGATCACGGCAGTAATTAATTAAGTTATATAGAAAAGAAGGTATATATATGTACATTCGATATCAGGTAATGTGGCTGCGAATGCAAATTTTGCAAGGAAAAAGGCCATGAAAGAAGCGAGAAGAAGACGCGGAAATAACATGGCTGCAGGCATCTGAAAGTTGGAGAGATTGTTACAAAAAGAAGATTCAGGTTGAGTATACGCGTGCGAATGAAGAATGATATGTATGAGTTTTGTTTTGTTTTGGTTTGGCTTAAAGAAAAGAGAAGTGCAGAGAAATGAGACCTGCTCGAAAGTCAAGTGAAGTACTTG